AATACATCATTTATTTGTCCATAGTGTTCAAAGATTAGAAGTTGAATGAAAACTGTGACTTAGATTGTAAGCATTTCGATGCAGGGGCTGTCGTTTTGTTTCGTTTGTACAGCCCGCAAGTGAAATGCGGTTCTGGTTCATGAGTAGGTAAAAGAAATCAAGGTGTACCAAGTTGGCTTTCCTTACATTTGTAATTGTGAAAATCTTGAAAGCATCCTTTATTGTGGACTGTAATTCTGTGTAGTATTGCATTAAATAGATGGTGTTTGAACACACTGAATAAAGACTTACATCCACTGTAATCCCCAGGTCCTTTTCTGCAGAACTGCTACTTAGCCAGTCGGTCCCCAGCCTGTACCAATGCTTGGGATTCTTCTGTCCCAAGGGCAGGACTCTACACGGGTCCTTGTTGAACCTCATCCGATTTCTTGTGGCCCAATCCTCCAATCTGTCTAAGTCACTCTGGATTTTATCCCTGCCCTCCAGCGTATCTACCTCTCCCCCTAGCTTAGTGTCATCTGCAAACTTGCTGAGCGTGCAACCCATCCCCTCATCCAGGTCATTAATAAAGACGTTGAACAAAACTGGCCCCAGAACTGAACCTTGGGCCACTGATCCTTTGCAGGTTTCCAAAATGGGTGGAACGATAAATAATGCCAAGGCCGGGTTATGGATTCAGAGCCAAGTGGGTTGCGTTGTAAAATGGCAGAAACCAGCTGTGCATTTTCATGGGGGCGAATGAATGTATCGAGGAACTAAGATTGTGGGCTATACTTGAGCATGTTCTCTGGGAAGCTGGGACTCTTGAAAAAGATTTGGAGGTTTGATCCATAGCCAGTTGACCAGCATTTCCCTGTAGGCCCAAATGTGACTAGAGACGTTATCGTTTTGGGAACGTTGCTCATGGCCTGGTGAGGGACGTAAAATGACTGGTGGATTATTCGCCTTTTCTGTACGGATGTCCTGATCTGCCTTAACAGGGCTCTGAAGGCAAGGATCACAATGAGTCTAGATAAGGACGCCCAGAACCTGTTTGAAAAACAAAGTGGGGGAACCGGTTAGCTTCAAAGTGCCTGTCTTCATTAAGAGGCACGTCTCGTTTCCCCGCTCCTAGTTTTGTCATGTTAAAAGAAAACACTTCTGGCACCCTTCATGGAGAAGGTGGGATGTCGCTTGCCAGAGACTGGCTGGGAAGATCAACTGCCAGCGTGAGAGAGAGAGAGAATGACTCTGTGGAGGAAGTCTAAAGCAATTGGGCCTTCTCGGATCCAGGGAACGGTAACACGTCGGGGAAAGCTGATACGATTTATAGGTAGGGTGGGGAACCTTTTAACACTCATGCCACTCACAGAAATGCTGGACTTTAAGGAGGATGTCTGGTCACTGTATAAATGACTCACATTTCTTTTGGAGGAAGAATTTCAGGGTATCATCCTAAATGAGGCCTGCTAAGGAGGTCATAGGTTAGTACTGAGAACAGCAGTCCTCAAATTGTGGGATGGATCCTCCCCACTTAGGGGACTTGGAGGAGAGGTAGGGTGTGTTTGGCAGGGCCCAGACCCTTAGGGGTGGGGATCAGGCACCGCTCCGCCCTGATCTCGAAACTCAAAGCAATGCGAGTGCCAGGAAACCGGGGTGTGCCTGGAATGGGGTTGCTTCTCGTAAAAGCAAACAGAAACGAGACTGAATCACCAGGCAGGTAAAAGGAGGTGGCTGGAGGCGCCTCCCTTCCCTGGGGCTGCTCCAGTCCTGAGCCTTCCCCTCCCGATTCATAAGGGGACGTTGTTGGCTGTTCCCGTTCCTCACTATCAGGGAGCAAAGGGAAGGTGCACAGTTTGCTGCATTCCATTCTCACCGCAACCATGACTCCTGCACCCCTCACACCACCTGCACGAAGCCCCTCCTTACCCCAGCCCTAATTTCTGTATTCCTCTAGACCAGCCGTGGCCAACCCGCGACTTGTGAGCCACATGAGGTTCTTCCCCCTCCCAAAAGCATGGCTCACGAAGCCGCCCCTGCACACCTGAAAACAGCCCCTGGCTCCGTGTGCCGTCCGGCGCGGCCATTCAAAATGGCGTCTTCAAGATGGCAGCAGCCGGCGGGAGCCTGATGTGGCCAAAAAGCCTTTAATCATGTTTCTTAAAGGGACAGTCCTTTGTTTTAAAAAAAAAACGCAGCTGGGGGTGGCTGCTGCTTCTTTTTTTTTTTTCTTCGTCAACTTTTCCTCCCCAGCTCTTTGCGCTACATGCACAACTATTTTGGCTCTTTCGCTGTAACAGGTTGGCTACCCCTGCTCCAGACCCCTAGTCCTGCACCCCCCCATATTCGCACCCCCTGCCCTGAAGTCTGCAACGCCTTGCCTTGACTCCTGCACTCTCCTCCACACTGAAATTTCTTAAAGTTCTCCCTCCCCCAATCTCCTGCCCTGTAAAAAATGTAAGTTACTTTCACCCCCGGAACTGAATCAAGATGAGCCAGGAACATAGGAGGATCCCGGGGTAGGATTGCTTCTCAATAAACCTTGCAGAAAAGAGCTAAAACGGAGACATTTGGAGTGCGGCTCTGTTTTGGTACCGCTCCAATCAATGCGGAAGGTTTGAAAACTAGAATATAGGTAGTCCCTGACTTACAAACACATGGACGTACGACCAGCCACACTTACAACCAACCTCCCACTAAGCGCGGCCCCGATTTACGAATGGCGATCTGCACTTACGAACAGTGTGGTCCCATTGAAATGAATGGGGTCCAAACACATCGAGTTACGACCAAGTGCTTGGAATGTAACTCGTTCATGTACAGTGTTATTGGAAATGGACTATAGCCCCCTTTTGTCAAAACATAGTGAATGATAAGATTGGAGAGAGAGAGAGAGAAAAAATAAATTGGATGGAATTCCCCAATTACGGACTTGAGCAACGTTGGGTAAATCTCTGGGACCAACCAGACAGCCAATACAGGACGAGGGACCCCGTGACGGTAGTGACGTGGGGTGGGTTCTTTAGGGCAGTGTTTCGCAACCAGTGGTACGAGTACCCTCGGGGTACTCAAGAAGTCTGGGGGGGTACGTTAACACAACTGAAATTTGGAGAAAACTGAATTTATATTTACAGCGCTTTTTTTTGGTACTTTTTACACCCAAATATTTCACCGCTTGCACAGCTACAATTCAGTTGTTTAAACAAACGTGTTGCAATGGTAGAAAAAAAATGTATGTCTGAAAACCGTAGGTACTGGGGGTACTTCTAATTTTTTTTAAAGGCAGTATTTTATAAAAAAGGTTGAGAAACACTGCTGTAGGGGATACAGCATTTGTCAGGGGACCTCAGGGTTGGGGGCTCCCCCTGGGAGCAGCCAGCCAGCCTACACTAGCTCACGCAGGGATGGACCTGGCTCCAGCGCTACGAAAAGCAGGATAAGGGACCCTCTGAAGGTAGGGTGGGTAAATCTGCTAGTGTGTTCTAAATTTAAAGAACACAAATCAGTGCTTTCTAAAGATGTTCGAGACGGAGTACAATACGGCCATGTCAATATACAAAGCGCGTTAACAATAAAAACGTATTTAACTTGGGAATTTTAAAGTAACGATTTAATACAGAATACTCATTTACAGAGTTCTGGGCACTGCATTTCAGGAAAGATGTGGAGAAATTGGAGAGGGTCCAGAGAAGAGCAACAAGAATGATGAAAGGTCTAGAGAACATGACCTATGAAGGAAGACTGAAGGAATTGGGTTTGTTTAGTTTAGAAGAGGGAAGATTGAGGGGGGACATGATAGCCGTTTTCAGGTATCTAAAAGGGTGTCACAAGGAGGAGGGAGAAAACTTGTTCATCTTGGCCTCTGAGGATAGAACAAGAAGCAATGGGCTTAAACTGCAGCAAGGGAAGTTTAGGTTGGACATTAGGAAAAAGTTCCTAACTGTCAGGGTAGTCAAAACAAGAAGCAATGGGCTTAAACTGCAGCAAGGGAAGTTTAGGTTGGACATTAGGAAAAAGTTCCTAACTGTCTGGGTGGTCAAAAACTGGAATAAATTGCCCAGGGAGGTTGTGGAATCCCCATCTCCGGGGATATTTCAGAGTAGGTTAGAGAAATGTCTACCAGGGATGGTCTAGACAGTACTTGGTCCTGCCATGAGGGCAGGGGACTAGACTTAATGACTTTTCGAGGTCCCTTCCAGTCCTAGTAGTCTATGATTCTGTGAAGCTGTATACTGAATTTGGTGGGCCTAGCTCTTACTGCGTAGGAGGCGCTCTTGAACAAACAGATTTGCAGTACAGGCAGTCCCTGGGTTACATGGATCCGACTTACATCGGATCCCTAATTACAAACGGGGTGAGGCAACCCCGTGCTAGCTGCTTCCCCCCAGCAGACCAGGGAGACGCGAAGCTAGCGCCCCCCCTCACCCCTCAGCAGACTAGGGAGACGCAGAGCGGCTTTTCTCAGCAGACACCTCAGCTTGAGAATAAAAAAACTGAGGGAAGTGAGGTGTGGGAGAATAAAACTGAGCTCTGGATAAATGTTTGGCTAGAGTTTCCCCTATAATATGTACCAGTTCTGACTTACATACAAATTCAACTTAAGAACAAACCTACAGTCCCTATCTTGTACGTAACCCGGGGACTGCCTGTATACCCAAATTGGACCGGGGACTGCCTGTACACATTTCAAGAAAGAGGTGGAGAAATTGGAGAAGGTCCAGAGAAGAGCAACAAGAATGATGAAAGGTCTAGAGAACATGACCTATGAAAGAAGATTGAAAGAATTGGGACCCATTTTGACAATTCAGGAAGACTTCGTGACCCAAGACAATTAAAAAACGGGTGGAGAAGGGGTGGTGGTCAGAGTCACCTGGGGAGATACTTGGTGACCCTTTTGTTGTAATGGCGACCCATATTTGGGTCCCGACGCATAGGTTGGGAAACCCTGGTCTAGACAGTACTGGGTCCTGCCATGAGGGCAGGGGACTGGACTCGACCTCTCGAGGTCCCTTCCAGTCCTATGATTCTATGTTAGTTGGCACATACTAACGTGGGGATTTAGGGCTTGTGTATACAGTGTGGCCCTGAAAATTCCCCAGGGTGTGTTAATGTAGCAGTAGACAAACCCTCATGCAGTGACCGTAAAAAACCCAACAAGTTAGGTATGTTCGTCTCCCTAGAGTGTCATTCGTAGAAGCCACTGAATGAAATGCAAGTTAATGAATAACACAGTAGAGTTTCATTCTCCCCTGTGATAGAAAAAAGAGCCATCTCATTCTTGGACGTGCTTGAGAGCCAGCCAAGTAAAAACTTACTCATGCTTCCAGTGCTCAAACAGCTGTGCTCCGGTTGCATTCGCAGGGCCAGCCAATCAGCAGGGTGCACAAAGCTGCACTGGTGTCGGTTTTCAGAAGGAAGGGGAATGCACAGAAGCGTGGCTCCGGGTGGCATACGAGAGAGGGAACGGAGCCGTCTGTAGTGAAAGAGGAAGGGTTGTAGCAAAAGGTCATACCTCTGAAAGTTTTAGCAAAGAATAGTGCCACTTTTAAAGACTTGCATCTGACAAAGTGGGTCTTTGCCCACGAAAGCTTATGCTCCAGTACATCTGTTAGTCTCTAAGGTGCTACAGGACTTCTTGTCGCTTTTAAAGACTGTTATTCGATCACGATTTTTATCATGTTAGGAGGCAAACAGTAAAAGCGGATCCCAAATCCACCCGCAAAATGTCCAGTCTTTTTCATAATACTACAACCTGCCTACATACTCTGTTTTCACCAGCAGCCGAAGAGAGACGTTTTTATCTCAGCTCCCGTTTTCAGAGAAGTTGGAGGTATGTACAGCTGGTTTTCAGCAGACTTCTCACTTGAAACAGATACTAGGTGTATTTGGTAGCTACACGCATTGCTAAGGTGGACAGATAAGTTCCTGCTTTTGTTTGCTTGTCGCTTTTCAAAATTTGAGCTGTTCAGGCTGAAATTTTTAAAGTTAAGTGGCTGCTTCAGGCTGATCTAGATTCGTAAGAATGTAAGAACGGCCAGACTGGGTCAGACCAACGGTTCATCCAGCCCAGTGTCCTGTCTGCCGACAGTGACCAATGCCAGGTGTCCCAGAGGGAGGGAACACAACAGGGAATCGTCATGTGATCCCTTCCCTGTTACTCACCTCCAGACAAACAAAGGCTAGGAACACCATTCCTACCCATTCTGGCTAATAGCGATTAATGGACCTAACCTCCATGAATCTCTCTAGCTCTTTTTTGAACCCTGTTAAAGTCCTAGCCTTCACCACATCCTGTGGCAAGGAGTTCCACAGGCCGACTGTGCAAAAAAAAAAGCTTCCTTTTATTTGTTTGAAATCTGCTGCCTATTAATTTCATTTGGTGACCCCTAGTTCTTATATTGTGGGGAATACGTAAATAACTTTTCCTTATTCACTTTTTCCACACCAGTCATGAATTTATAGACCATGATTTTTTTTATTCGTTCGTTCATTTGTTTTAAGGGTTCAACAACAACAGTTTAACCATTCGGAGAACAAAATTAGGAAAAACGTTACAAAAGTACTCTGCTTAGAAAGGAACAATCCGTTTCGCATATACAGAATGGGAAGCGACTATCTAGGAAGGAGTCCTGCAGAAAGGGATCTAGGGGGGCATAGTGGACCACAAGCTGAATATGAGCCAACAGTGTGACGCTGTTGCAAAAAAAGCAAATATGATTCTGGGAAGCTTTAACAGGAGCAAGACAGAAGAAGTCTGCTCTGCACTGATTAGGCCTCAGTTGGGGTTTTGTGTCCAGTTCTGGGCACAGTTCAGGAAAGCTGTGGCGAACTTGGAGAAGGTCCAGAAAAGAGCAACCAAAATTATGAAAGGTCTAGAGAACATGAGCTATGAAGGAAGGCTGAAAGAATTGGGCTTGTTTAGTTTAGAAAAGAGAAGACTGAGAGGGGACACACTAGCTTTTTTCAAGTAGCTAAAAGGGTGTTATAACAAGGAAGGAGAAAAATTGTTCTTGACCTCTGAGGACAGGACAAGAAGCAATGGGCTTAAACTGCAGCGAGGGAGCTTTAGGTTGGACATTTAGGAAAAACTTCCTAGCTGTCTGCATGTTTAAACACTGGAATAAATTGCCTAGGGAGGTTGTGGAATCGCCATCACTGAAGATATTGAAGAGCAGGTTGGACAGACACCTGTCAGGGATGATCTAGACCTGTGGTTCTCAACTGGTGGTCCATGGTGACTTTTTCGGTGGAACATTGTCGAAAGTCACACGGCGTGGGCAGGCACCAAAAATCTGTTAGCAAGAAATACATTTCAAATCAAAATGTTCGTTGTCTGCTCTTTTATATCATGTCTCAAAAAGGAGGTGGTCCACGAAAATTTTTGGATTGGCCTGGTGGTCCGTGGACTGAAACGAGTTGAGAACCTTTGGTCTAGACGGTGCTTGGTCCTGCCGTCTTGATGCCCTGTTGAGGTCCCTTCCAGTTCTCGCATTCTATGAGTCTATACAAACGCTCAAAATTGTGTCGAGACACTCTAGTGTTGTGGAGCAGAGATGCAAAATCTGGCAGGGAAGTGCCTTTTGTCATTGTTGAGAGAATCCACCCAAATGTGTCGGAGTTGTAAGCTTCTGAACGTTTTCATTTGCATGTGCTCGGTAGAAGTGAGTTAGAGGCTTGCAGCAAAACTGTCTGAATATTCCGGCTTCACTGAGTATGTGCTATCCTCCAAGAGCTGACTGGCCATTCCCCGATCTGAGGGTGAGCAAAATTAGGTGAGGGAACATGCTGATTTTGTGTGCTCCAGCCCTGCAGGCGTAAGGTGGAGGAGGCAGAGAATGGTGCTGGTGAACCAATGTAGACTCCCCAATGTTAGGGGGGCCGTGAGCGTTGGGGGCTGGATCCAGGGAAGCCGGGGGCTGGATCGGGCCCCTGGGCCACATTCGGCCCCCAGGGCCTTAGGTTCTCCACTCCTGCTTTAGTGGCTGAACCACAAGAAAGCTGTCAACCTCTTCAATGTCCTTTGGCTTATGGGTTAGTGGCCTGTGCAGTAAATCTGAAGACCAGTGTGCAGCGGCGGTCGAAAAGGCAAATAGGATGCTAGGAATTATTAGGAAAGGGATAGAAAATAAGACCCAGAATATCTTACTGCCTCTGTATAAAACTATGGTACGCCCACATCTTGAATACTGTGTCCAGATGTGGTCTCCTCACCTCAAAAAAGATATTTTGGCCTTGGAAAGGGTTCAGAAACGGGCAACTAAAATGATTCGGGGGTTGGAACGGGTCCCATATGAGGAGAGGTTAAAGCGACTGGGACTTTTCAGTTTAGAAAAGAGGAGACTGAGGGGGAGATAGGATAGAGGTCTATAAAATCATGAGTGGTGTGGAGAGGGTGAATAAATAAAAGTTATTTATTAATTCCCTAAATAGAAGAACTAGAGGACACCAAAGAAAATGAATGGGTAGCAGGTTTAAAACTAATAAAAGAAAGTTCTTCACACAGCGTGTAGTCAACCTGTGGAACTCCTTGCCAGAGGAGGCTGTGAAGGCTAGGACTAGAACAGAGTTTAAAGAGAAGCTAGATAATTTCATGGAGGTTAGGTCCATAAAAGGCTATTAGCCAGGGGATAAAATGGTGTCGTTGGCCTCTGTTTGTCAGAGGCTGGAGAGAGATGGCAGGAGACAAATCGCTTGATCATTGTCTTCGGTCCACCCCCTCTCGGGCACCTGGTGCTGGCCACTGTGGGCAGACAGGATACTGGGCTAGAAGGACCTTTGGTCTGACCCAGTAACGGCTGGTCTTATGTTCTTATGACCTTTACCATAATGATCAGGGCTTGACAAACGGCGGCGAAAGCCGCTCTCCAGCCCCACACTGTGCATGCGTGAGAGCCGCATTGCACGTGCATGTGCTGCCGGTAAACGGGGCGCGCGGCTGAAATCTACTCGTCACAGGTGAGTAGATACTATAGTTTGTCGAGCCTGATAATGATGATTCAGGTGGGGTCATTGTGGTTTCATGTGATAGGACTGCTGATTCTTAAATCGGTGTCGTTCAAAAATCTGGCAAATTCATTAGAAATCCCACACGAAAAGAAGATTAAGTTGCAAAATCAAGTCCCAGTGGTTGTTCCTACAATCCTAATTTCAGCCCCCCCTTGTGTATTTCCCTGGTGATACGGCCGTTGATTGTGTGATCTGTTTACATGTTTTTTCACGGAACCCCTGCCTTTTTGAGCGCATAGGATGGGTAGTGTACAGGGCTTGCATCAGAGTCCTCGAGTGAATGAGACTGTTATCTGTAGGACCTCTGCCGTATTATGGTGGAAATAACAAAGTAGGAAGTGATTGTATGAGGTGGCGGGGAGGCACGGACGGTTGGTCTCATGGTTACAGCATGTGATCGTCATCGTGGAAAACTGGAATCCGGCCTAGTCTCTGTCATAAAGTTCCTTTGTAACGTGGGGCAAGTCATTTAAATCCACAGTTCCCACAGGGGACCGCTGTGTGTTCCTCATTTTCCAAGTGCCCGAGGAGAGACTCTTGGGTCTGATTTGCAGCAGGGCCATAAAATCCCGTTTCATTGGCTCAGTGGTTAAACCTATTGTTTAACCAGTTAACAGATTAAAGGGGGTAGGCCGAAATACCCCCGATTCCCGCCACAGGCAGGCCTGCTCTGGTCGAGATGTCAGTGCAGCCCCTACCTGCGGCGGGCCAGCGTGCTCCCCACGCAAGCGATTGGATTGGAGCAGCCCTTGCCTGTGGGGTGCTGGGCCCCTGGGGAAGAGTGGTGAGTATGGGGGAGGGAGTGTAAAGGGATGAGGCTTGGGAGATGGGGGTGACCACACCTCCCCCCTTCCAAAACGTCCGGGTCTTCTGGGCCAGATTGTGACTATGCACCGGCCCTTAAATGGCCCGGTGTCTGTTAGTTTGAGATCCCTGTCCTAGACCCTCTCTAGTCCTGTTCTCCCTCCCGTCTGAGTAATCCCCGAGGACATGAGGGAGTGCAAGAGGTGGAGGGAGGAGGCTTAGGGGATAGCCCCCCCCACCACCCATGCTCCAGCCACCAGGTCTCCCAGGCCAGATTGCAAATATACTCTGTCCTGTAGGTGCTCTGCAGGTTGTGCGTTTGAGATCCTGGTCTAGCATTTCTGCCCCGATACCATCCCGGGATCGTAACTGTGGCCTTTAACCTTGGCAGGGACATGTCCGAAATCAAAGTCTTCCCTCCTTCCTTTCCTTTTTGCCTGCAGACTCAGGTAGGCCCGATGGCCTGGATCATGCTCAACGCACCTTGGGAATGTGTCCTTCTCAGCCCCAAGCGCTAGAAGCTCGGTTTTTGTTTTGAACGAGATGAGTTGTCTTTTTTGAGTTGTCCAGAATGAGATAATACTGAAAAACATTTACCTACGTAGATTGGCTTGAATATGAATTATATGCCCATCGGCTGGCAAGCTAACCAGCCTTAGTTACTCAAAAGTAATTAAGTGCTAAGATCGTTTAACTTAAGAAACTAGAAATATAGATGTGCATTATTCACCTATAAAAATAAGTCTTGATTTTTTTTTTAAAGATAAAAGTATAGGCACTTACGGAGGGAAGGTAAAAATGGACACGTTGCCTTAGCTGTCGTTTGCAGGACTTCTGCAATTCATGGTCCTTGTAAATTTTGAAAGTAATGTTTTAACTACACATTGCCTATGCCCTACATTCAGAATTACGTAAGTTAAATCAGGGTTCTTGACCACTGTTTTGTGACATCCTGGGTGGCTTACCCCGGCTTGCTTTTTTGCTAGGCTAAAACCCATCGACAAGAGGGACGTTCCAAAT